CCCCCCCCCTTGCCCTAGATACTCTTACATTCCTCGTCTACTGCTTTACTTGCCGTCATGTCCGCGCGGCTCGGCTAACGTGCCCTTTAGGATCGGCCAATTCTACAACGTGATTCCTTACCAACACTGGAAAGATGAGGTCGAGAAGTGGGCCCGAGCCAAATATCCCGAGCTGTGGGCGCAGCTAGAGCAGATCGAACGCATCGAGCATGACGAGGGCCCACAATTCAATATCGAAATGAAGGAGATTGACATTTAAACGTAGATATAGCGAGTCCTTTCTGCGGGCGGTTTTGTGCGTACAATGCGATTGAGCGGTTTAGCGGTTCATTGATGGCCGGCGGAGTGAGCCTCCGTGCGTCCATTGCTTTATATGCAGTCATTGTGCCACGCAGATGTGTCACATGTACGGACTCGTGAGATTCTGGCAGAAAGGGCAATTGCATCACGATTGAGCGACACCGAATGAATAATCAATCTTAAGATCTCCCTTGCTCTTGGTCGTAATTTGCATACCATACATAATTCCAAAGCTGCCCATGCTACGGCAAGACGATCTAAATTAATCAATCAATGGAAGAACGGAAAAGACTACTCCGTAAAGGTCCTGAAGATGAATAAATCACTCTATTAGGCTAGGCTCGTAGCAGCTTTTCTGTATTCCACAAAACAACTGACGTCCACTCATTATTGATATATCCATAACAAACTGCATATGTGCAGCAGGCATACCCGGAAGATGCATATCATCGCACTCTTTAAGGAATCAAGGAAGACTCATGTATATTCGTCTAAAAATCACGTTTACGCCTGGGAAATCTGCGCAAGTCGCTTGGTCATGCTGTCAATCAAGTTAGCGAAGTCACGGGAGCGTCAAAAACAGGGCACTCACAAATCGAAGAAAGAGAATTGGCTTGGGCTGCTACCATACTCGTAAACAAACCGACTGGCGAGGTAGCTACCAAAAATAGCCCGCAGATAATTCTCCGGTACACGCTGAAGGATAGTGTCCAGGCCGATCTTGTTCAGAAGCAGCTTAGGGAGAGCATCGTGGAGAACCGAGCGACGGAGCTCGACATTATCCCACAACTCGGTGTTTTGAAGCTCTTCATCAAGCTTGGTGATCGCGATACTAAGCTGATCGCTGAGCACACTACGGAGCACACCAGTTTGCTCATGCTCGCGCCAAATAGCCTCAAATTCGAGGGTGGCGTTCTGCTTGATCACTTCTTGAACCTGCTTGACATATTCGCTGTAGAAAGTAGGCACCGTGCCGTCCTCACGAATGCACATGTTCTCCACGAACTCGGCATCATCGAAAGACAACGAAGCCAGAACCTCCAGGGAAGACGAGGTCACACCACCCTTGTTGGCAGACGCGTCCTTGAACAAAATACAGCCGGCACGCTCCAAGCGGAGCTTGGCGTCTTGTGTGATGAACAGATTGGCACCTTCGACAATGTAGGGAATGGTGGCTTTGCCATCGTTGATCAGCTTGCCCACGGTGGACAGGTCAATTGATTCGGGGCGACCACCGCAAGGCACAAAGGTGTCATACTGCTGATCATTGCGCAGATGAAACAGGTTGCGGAAGATCATTCCATTGTGGACGAGCTCGCCGCTAGGCAATCTCACGTTACTCTCGTCCACTAAGACTCGGTAACCCTGGGGCGAAAGCTTGGACAGGTCGAACTCCGAAATCGTGACCCGATTCTTAGCCAGTCGGACAAGCTCTTCCTGGTTGAGACCTTGGGGATCAACAATCACACCGGAGCCGTCCACGATGGCAGTGTACTTTTCATTGGCGAGGAGAATCTCGTTGGAGCCTAGATCACCATCGGGACCACCGGTTTGTAGCTTGCGAATGGTGCTGGGATCGATCTTCAACTTGCGGTAGATTCCAAGAACATACTGCCGCACGGACAACGTCGTCATTCCGTAGGTGTCATGAGGGATGCCGCCCAGTCTGGGGCTCTTCCCCGTGAAGAAAGACTTCCACCATGGGGCACCACGATTCCGGGCATGCTCTGTGGCCCAGTCGACCAGCTCAGCCGTGTTCTCATCTGGGCCCATAAATAAGATCTCGTCTTTGCCGTACAGATCAACAATAGGGTCCTTGATGCCAGGACTGACTGGTGGCAGCAAGAGATCAAGGATACTGTCAATATACTTTTCAAAAGCGACACGGGCCTTGTCCTGGTGATTCACGTCGAGCAGGATTACGCCCTTGGCACCGCCTTCGGGAATGTCCTTGTTCTTGCGTTGCTGAGTATTGGCCAGGTTGTAGTTCTCATCGAACAGAGAGCGGGCATTGATGCTGTAGGCTTCCTTGTTCCGGCTCTTGACGATACGAATACCTCCGCGCGCAATATCACGGAACCGGAGATGGAACCCGCGGAACTCGGAGCTAATGACCAGGAACATGCCATATAGAGGTTGGGGGTACTCGTGCTCCGGGAGGAAATGAGGGTTGAGCCGGAAGCTGAGGGCCACCTTGGTTGGGGTGAAGAAGTTTGTCTTGAGAATAGAGGCATTAAACACTCGGAAAGCGCTCATGACCATTTCATCATGTTCGTTGGCAGCTGTGCTTGAGATGAGCTGCTTCAGCTTGGGGCCGTCAAGGACCTCGTCAACCTGCAGCCGCAAATAACTTAGCGTAGGAAGGAAATCATCCTCAGCTGGTCCACGGGTCTGCACATAGTGGGTGTTGGCAAAGTCGAGATATAGCTTGTGAATGAGTTCCGGATACTTGTTGACGATCTCGGAAATATAATCCGAGGTAAAGGTCTCGGTACGTAGACGCTTCTTAATCTTGGCCAACAACTCCGCGTGAACGCTGTTGCTAGAATCCAAGAGATCGGTTAACGACGTGTACTCAGAGCCCAGGCGATTCAAAAATTGCTGAACGAACACCCACGCGCAGTGGGCATAAATCGTCTCTTGCAAGCTGAGCCGACCAACTGCAAAATGATGCTGGAATCTGTTCTGAGGGATGCAATACAAAAGGGAGACCTCCTTGATAATCTGGTGAATCGCCGCCTCGATCGGGGGAAACTTGGCAGCTATCTCCTGATTGGGTAACGGACGAAGATAGAGCGAAATCACCGTGATTCCGTTGGAGAAATGTTCCAGATACTTTCGTGAACTGGTCAAGCGGTAGTAGTGATACAGATCAGAGAGAGCACTGAAAAGTCCCATGGCCGAGCCTTGCCGGTAGGCAATGACCAGTCTCTTCTCGCGACTCTTTTCAATCTCGAACATCTCAATGACGGGACCAGAGCGGCTGACCGCATTGCTGATGATCTCTTGGTAAATGGCCTTGGTATTGGGGGTGGCCTTCTGCAAGAACCTCTTCTCACCAATGATGTCGATGTTGGTCTCATTGGGATCTGGGTTCGAGTTGACAAACTGACACTTGTAGACGAAGTAGCAACGGAGCTGCTGACCATCATCACCTGGAATCGAGGTAGGCGAGCGGAAAGTCTCTACCCGGTAACTGTTCTCGGGTGTCGAGCCATTGATGTACTTTTTGTCAATCCGCGACTCGTAGCGCGGGCCCTCGACGGAGGAGACGCCCGGCTTGCTGGTGTCGATGTAAACCGCGTGATCCTCAGCCTCCTTGTCCAGTCGGATTTCAAGCTTCTTGTCGTCTCGCGCATAGGCGGCGACCTTGGCGGCGTACAAGGACAGAATTTGCGTAACGATGGCCTCGACAGACTCCGTCTGGAAGTAGGTGTCGTCGATGCCGAGTTGATTGTAAAACCATTCAGTCTCTCCTACAACGAACTCCACTGGAATGAAACCCTTCTTTTCCAGCTGATCCATGACTGCGGATGCAAATAGGTCAGATACCAACCTGGTGCGCGAGCTCTTTAGTTCAAGTAATCACTTACCCTGTTCCATCTGCTTCTCCTTGCCCTCGAACTTGGCAGCCACATAGCCGGGATCTTCCTCGGACAAGATCCGATGTGAACCGCCCCCGGGGATTCCCAGGTGGGTGGGTTGTGGGGAAGGTTGACGGATGCTTGAGCCGGCTACACTCTCGAGGATTTTGTTGTGTGGGTGACGTTGGAAACCGATGGGGGTGCCAGCTCCCGAGTAAGCGCCGTCGTTACTGCCATAGAGCTTGGGGCCGGCCCGCACGGGCAGAGAGTTGGCGCCATTGAGTTGGCCATCGGGGATGGGCGAGGATGAAGGTGCGGGGGACACCATTGTGAGTGTTGTGACTTTTATGACTGGGGGTCTTTGAGGTTGTGTGTAATTCAAGTGGTATGTTCAGTGGACAAGGTTCGGCTTGTGAAGTCTGAAACAGTATGAGCACTGCAGCCAACCCGGGCAACCGCAAATGGTGAAATTCCAAAGGAGAAGTTTGAATAGTGCATTTGCTGAAAGAAAGCGAAAAGAACAGAAGGGGAGTTGAAAACAAAGACAGACGAAGTCGAGGACAAGATAACACGCAAGCGATGAAGGGCGAACGCACCTAGCTCCAAGTTGTGTTTGAGACAAATGCAATTGAGGCGGATTCTTGGATTCTGTGAACTGGTCAGTAGGTGGTGGGGGAAGACAGGCTTATCAGACAGGAAGGGACGGCTTTTACAGTTGTCAAGCTCAGCCATGCAATGCAGTCGACACGTCAACCGCAATTGAGAGAAAGGCAGATAAGAGAAAAGTAGGTCGACAATTGTATTGATTGCGTGAGATGCTCAATCTTTTCTTTTTCGAAAGTTGGAAAGAGTGGGTGACTTAGTAGGGAAGAAGAAGGAGGAGGAGGAGAAGGGATGATCCGTGAGAAGAATTATGCTACAAGCAAAACAAATGACTTCATCAAAATGTGTATTGTGTGAGTGGGAGGAATACTGGGGAAGGCGACCCTTTATATGACTAATTCAAAAATCTTTTGGAGAGATGATCTCAGTTTGGAAGGAAGGCTTTTTTTTCATTTATTAATTATCACGCAGTGTCATGTAAGTTATTTATTTGTTTGGGTGGTAAAGACGGATAAGTTACAAAGAGTCTCCAGTTATGATGCTGGATGATGTTACGACATACTACATAGTTACACTACTAGATGCTAGTAGTAGTATGAGAGGAGATAAGTGAACTAACTAGTCGCAATAGCCGGTGCTATGCGATCGGCCAGGAACGGGGGGGGGGGGGGGTCACAAGTGGAAGGTGGGAAGTGGAGGGGTGGGAAAAGCGCAGCTTCCCGGTCCGGGGCAACTTGTGGTAAGATACTGTTGGTATTGGTACGGTCTCATACATCACATTCAGGTATCGTACCTACCCTACAGGTGGATCGACCACCCCGGGTCCGGGTGGTCCTTTGTGGCTATACTTCGTAGTCAACTGTGCTGTGGCTGATTCTTTTGACATTGATTTTTCTCTACCACATGACACATACTCCGTACTTAGATTGAAAGGAATTCTATACTCTAGCTCTGCACTCAAAAGACACGAATCTATCTCCACTGCATGACCTTGATTGCTACTTACTGGTTCTACGTACTTCGTACAGTGTTGTCGACGCCAAGGGAAGCAAGCTGGAGCTGAGTGGGCCAGGACTTGCCTGTTTGGACGATGAGCCAGACTCACTCGGATGGCGCGAGTGAGATAAAAGAGGTCAACTTGGAAGGAAAATGCCGCATCTATCATTTTTCATTGGCCTGGGAACCCGGGGCAGGTGGAGAGAGGGGGCCTAATTTTGGAAATTCCATCTCCATAATTGCCTCAGCTCCTGGTCGGTGGTTTGAAAGATACAGTAGATAGATAGATAGATAGATAGATGGGTGGATACGTAAATATAGATACATGAGTAGGTATGAGCTGAAAGATCTATTTTGGGAGAGAAGAATGAGTTGCAGCGAGAGACATGAAGAATCATGTCCAGGAACCCGGGGGGGGAGGGAGATCGAGGGGCTGGAATTTCCAATGCTCTAACTATAGATAAAGTAGCCAGGGGTTTGAGAACTAGGGACAGTACGGCGTATAGTCAGCTCAGGTAAGTTAGTTAGTTAACTCTATGAGTAGTAAAGTTCTGAGTACGACCACGCTGGAATAGGGCCTTATCAGGCTCCAGACTATCAAAGAATACCTTAACCATGTTAAAGAACAGAACCTAACAGACCAGACCGGCAACATTCCAGGTGTGTCAGCTGACCGGACCGGGTTTGGATGTGTCATAGTTTGTGACCGCCCGGTTTCCGGTGCGTAATATGAATTATCGAAAATGCCGCATCGCCATTCTCGGCGTTTCGCTCACCTCGTCTCGGCGAGTTTTGTGATTGTATCTGATGGAGTATGTGTGTGATTGTGATTATGGAGTAGGATGAGGAATCTGCATGTAGTGTGTGATGTATATACTCATACCGAATACAATCATGTAGCAGTAGGCCAGCCTGAAGGACGAAATATAGACAGTACTTAGGGTATCAACCTTTAACTAAATGCACTGTACTCTGTACTTACTATACAGGAAGGGTACTGTACTTTTTCTATTGAATGGATCAGTCACTAACTCACAAGTTCATGACGGAGTCATGTGCAGTTCCAATTGCGGGGGAAGCAGCCAAGTCGACTCGGAATCGGTTCCTGGATCGATTCCCGATCCAGGCTCTCTCCAATTTTTTTTTCCAGGGGGGGTAATGGGGGTAATGGGGGTTTGGAGCAATGTCCAGGTGCAGTTTTTGCGGGGGAGGTATGAGAAAACCCCTCTCTATTGCGGAAGTTCCCATGAGTTCTCATTATTAAAATTATCAAATGGCTCAACCCAGTCGCCGGCAATTACCCCATCAAAATTCAAGAGATCAAGAGATGCTCCCCGACTTTTCCCCAGGATCCTTCATCCCCCTCCCTCCCTCTTTTTTCGCTCCTCTCTCTCTCCGCGGGACTGACTCCCCTTCTGAGTTTTTGCTAGTAGGGTGATCGTCGGCCTTCCGTCCTGCAAACAACCTTGCCCTAAATGGGGAGACCCCCGGACCGGCTGAGGAGGGGGAAGAATGGCTGGGAAAGATCCATGAAACTCAAGTAGTAATCTACTAATCTATCCATGATTAAGTTACGTACCTTGGAGTCTAGCCCACTGGATCCATGCGGGATACTTTTTCCTACCCCAACGGACACCAGGATGACGCAGATCTGAAAGAGAGAAAAGGGAACGGAATGGAGAAACGAGTCATCTCCTCTCCGCCGTAGCATACGGTAAGTGAAAGTCGAGCTATTGTTGAATATTGTTGAATAGCTCACTCGGACAGCCTTGCATAGCCGTCGCTTGATTGCTCAAATCGGTCAGCTGCACACCAGCACGAGGGACATTCCCAAGAGGTCCAGCAACCACTGGTCGCCAGCGATACGGAGTACTTGAATTCGCAAAATTGGAGCTGCGCTCCTAGAGGGCCGCAGCAGCAGGGAAAATGCATGCTCGGTGTCAGGGAAATGGTATCGAACGAATCCGGCTGAGTGGACAGAGTCACGAGAGGGAACAACGGAAGCATGCTGAATAACGAACTCACTGCTTCTACTAGTAAATATCTCACGGACCGCAGACTTGCTCAATGCAGCAAGCAATCACTGAACTGCAAGGCGTGATGCTTACAACGAGATTTTGTTATTGGATACGCGTTCGACCCAACGGTCTGCATCCGTGCCCGAAAGCCACTAATTCCTCATCCATGCACCACGCGTCTTCTGAACCCTTCGGATGGATCCTGGATTTCGCAGAGGCCTCGTTTGTACTCGGACGCGCAGATCGAGTTTGGCTAGATGATGCCGACCAGCTAGCGCGAAGCCTCAAAATATGCCAATATGCATGTGTGACTGTGTGGGAGAATCTCAACTGACCATAAACTCTTACGAATAGCATGTAGACACTCTACGGACACGCGAACACCAGCGAACACCTATTTTCATTTCTGGTCTGGTACAGAGAGCTGGATCATATCATACATCCTTCACGACTACCGCTTCTTGATGCTCACGTCAAGGTTGCCCACAGCCCACGCGGCTACAAATACTGTGAAGAGACCGGCAGTGATAGTCACCGGCTTGCGCAATCCATCCCACAAGGAATAATCGTAGGTCACCTAGTTCAATTGTCAGTATGTTTTCAACTCGAGTCAGGTTTATATGATTGTCAAGGAACTTACCACAATCTGAGAGTCACGAGCTTCATCCGTCAGTCCATTGACGGTTAGGCTTAATGCCGTCCGTCCCAGAGTGTCCATGAACGTCTTGTGCTCGGACACGTCGGTCTGGATCTGGCTAGAGCTAGGGAGTCCATTGCTGGAAGCCTTTTCCAGCATCTCCCAGCGAACATTCCGGGCGCCTTCGGGAAGGATCACTCGCACAACGACCTTCTCATACTGGATGCCCTCGGAGGCCTTGGGTCCTTCGATGAAGGGAACCTTGAGCACGTAAGAGTCAGAACTGCCGACGGCCCGACGGAGGAACGTGGAGAGGTCGTTGTTCCAGCCGACGCGGAAACTATAGTTCCAGCCACCAAAGATGGGGAAACGGGGGCGAAGCTCCAATGATGCGTCGCGGCTCGGAACCTTCCCGGGACGGTATCGGCTTGTAGAAACATTGCCGATGTCATCGATAAAATAAGGGTCCACGGAGCCGGGCTTCAGGGGGTACTTCAGCTCGCGAATGGAGGAAGAAGGGAGTTGCTGATAACTGCTGAGGGTCCACTCCACGCGCGAGAAGTGGTCCAAGAGTTCAGAGCCATTGTTGCGCAGCCAGTAGCGTTCCTCCGTGGCCAGGTTGCCGCCCCAATGAGAAACCTCCAGGTCGCGCTCCAGCAGCGAAGCCGTGATGACCGGCTTGGTGAACTCATAGCGAACGACGATCGGGTAACTAGTACCGGGCGCAACCTGAGCCGTGTCATAGGGTCCGTACGTGTAGCTGGTACCCAGACGCTCCGGGTCCGCACCCGACTTCAAGTCCGTGGTCGTATATTCCGGGACATTGGTGCTGGGAAGCTTGAGCTTGGTCTTCTGCGTCACTGTCGTGTATGCTGAAGGAGCATAGGCGGAGAACGAATAAGTGAGGTACTGTCGGTCCATCTGTTTGATAGCGGCCGGGCGCGGGCTGAAAGAGTTGAGGACAGAGTAGGAGATTCCCAAAGTGATCTGAGAGGAGGGCGGCAGGGGTTCGGAGAAGTGAACGATGTAGTATTGGAGATCCCTGTGCGTCAAATATAGCATACATCAGTCTTAATTCGCCGGGGGGGTATGTAGGAGTGCTTGCGGATCAAGCAACCGTGGCATCGTCACCGGCATCACCACCAGCCTACGAGCCATTGGCGACTAAAATGACCAACTCACCTGCTTGGGTCAATTTCAGTAGCTTGCACATTGAGCCTGCTCTTCTCCGGAGCTGATTTATCGCGGACTTCGAGGACTCCGACCTTATCGTAGAGGTGGGATGGCAAAGCCAAATAGTAGTCACTCTGAGCTTGCTTGGCCACATTCTCGACCACGACATTGATGGTCTCACGGAGGTAGCTCTTCTCCAAATTGGTGTTTCGGACCAAATTGGTATTCTTGAATACTTGAGCGGGCTTGAAGTCGCTGGGAAGAGCGACTGGCGAGCTTGACGATGTGGAATCGGCGCATACAAAGCTGCTGGTGGATAGAAACAGTCCGCACAGCGCGGTGAGTGCGGAAAAGGGCCTCATTGTGACAAATGGGCGGCCGTGAAGCAGACCGCGCCTAAAACACAATGTCTCTCGCCAGGAGAAAATTGAGAAAAGAAGAAAAAAAAAAAGAGAGAGAGATAATCAGCACTGAAGAATGAGAGGCAAGTCAAGAGGAAATTGGGCGAGCGGGAAAGAGACGCGGAGATGCTGAGGTGTCCCGATTCGGGGCGATTACGAGTTCCGGCCGGACTTCTCCACCCGCTAGCTAACTCGTAGCCTAACCTCCTTCTCCGCCTTTCCGCCATTCTTATCACCAAAACAGGTGAACCATATTATCTTCTTTCCTGCATCGGTCGTCCTCCCTGGCCACCGCGCACCTCCAACCAGTCCTCATCTCCTCTAAGATGCTCATATGAGCTCGAGCTTTTGCAATTGTCTTAGAGATCTTCCATTCGAATATCTACCTTACCAAGTCTTGTGCAACAGCTGTCAAATGCTCGCCTCTCGAGTGGCCGCTCGCACATGCGGGCGGACAGTGAGAACCGCAGGCCTACCTCGACGGTACCATGGCCTTGCTAATAGTAAATTGTTCAAAGTATCGGAGGAGGTTCGCGATGCCGTCGCCACGGGGAGACCTGTGGTGGCCCTTGAATCAACCATCTATACACATGGTAAAGCTCTCATCAGGCGTGTCACAGTAGATCGGCCGAGACATTGCTGACAAGAGCAGGATTCCCCTATCCGGAAAGTGTCGCATTGGCAACGCTGTTGGAATCTGTAGTACGTGCCAATGGCGGCGTTCCTGCTACCATCGGAGTTCTCTATGGCGAAGCCCGGGTTGGCCTCAACGCAGAAGAGCTCATCGAGTTAGCATCTACTGCGGAGAAGAAGAACGCTTTGAAAGTGTCCCGGAGGGATCTGGGATACATTTGTGGTCTAGTAAGGCAAAAAGTCTGTAGCTGGCTTGGAATTGTTGATCTAACTTTGTATCAGGGACTAGCTGGCAAAAGACTACACGGGGGTACAACAGTGTCCGGCACGATGGTGCTGGCTCATCTGGCTGGAATCAAGGTCTTCGGAACGGGAGGCTTAGGTCCGTACTTCCAAGCTAGGGCAGTTCTCAAACAAGCTGACTTGTCATAGGAGGCGTACATCGCGGTGGAGAAAATTCGATGGACATCTCTGGTGCGAAGAATCATCCTTGCTATCAGCTTCCCCGCTAATGTTGATATAGCTGATCTCACCGAGCTGGGACGAACGCCAGTGGCAGTCGTCAGCTCTGGGTGTAAGAGCTTCCTGGATATCCCGCGTACCCTGGAGTATCTCGAGACAGAGGGAGTCTGCGTGGGGACCTTTGCAGATGGCCGTCAAGGAGCCGTGGATTTCCCCGCCTTCTATACTCGCGACAGTGGCCTCAAGAGTCCGAAGATCATCCATGATGAGGCTGAAGCGGCCGCAATTATCTGTAAGTGGCACATCACAGGAGTTCCTGTTTACTCTTGGCGGTATCTCTGCATTCTCGCCAATCGGCGTTTGTCAGCACTGTGCGATGAGGCCGCTAATTCCATCACAGACGCGCAAACACAGATTCCTGTCTCGTCCGGTATTCTCCTTGCCAACCCTGTCCCCCTCGAGCATTCGATTGCAAAAAGTGAGATGGATGGCATCATCGATGAGGCCATTCGTCTTGCAGAAGTCGAGGGGCACCAAGGGAGTGACAATACGCCATTCGTACTTGCAAAGATCAAGGACCTAAGTGGTGGGAAGAGTGTAGTGGCCAACCGAGCCCTTGTCGAGGCCAATGTGGAGCGTGCAGCCAAGGTAGCTCTGGAACTCTCGAAACTCGAGCGATCTGGCGGGTCATTGAACGAACGGTGAGTACTCATGTTTTTTTTTAGCTCAGCATAGAGACACCCTAATGTCGAGATGGTCGGCGCAGATACATGCCAGCTATCTCCGAGACCACTGGGGCTGACCGAGCAACTGCAGAAGCAGAGCTGGATCTCAATTCGACCACTGAACAGTTGACCAAGGGTGTTGCCAAGGCGGACATTGTTGTGGCAGGCTCGCTGGCAATTGATTTGTCCTGTGACTTTAGTCCTACTGAGCCAACGACTTCTCCCGTCTTGGAGACATCCAATCGCGCAGTCATCGGACAAAGCCTTGGAGGGGTGGGTCACAATGTGGCTATCGCGGCGAAATATCTCAACAGCTCTGTTCTCTTCTGCAGTATAGTTGGGGACGATTTAAGTGGCCGCACCGCGCTCGCTTCCCTCCGCGATGAGAAGCTGCCCATAGCCGGTATTCGTGTTCTTCCTGCATCATCAGGAGCGCGTACTGCGCAGTATGTGGCCGTCAACGATGCAAAGAAGGATCTCGTTGTCGCTATGGCTGATATGGCCATTATGGAATTGCCCGCACAAAGTCTAGATTTTGACGGATTCTGGGAGCCATTAATTGCGCAAGCTCAACCAAAATGGGTGGTTGTGGACGCGAACTGGAGCCCAGAAGTGCTTGTAAAGTGGATGACAGTTGCAAAGAAGCATGGGGCTCGAACGGCCTTCGAACCCGTCTCGACCGCCAAGAGCCGTCGGTTGTTCGGCCGGCGCTCCGCTGCCGTCACGCCTTCCGAATGTGTTCCCAATAATACCGTCAGTCTTGCGGCACCCAACCAGATGGAGCTGACAGAGATGTACGCAGCCGCGCGGGATAATGGTCTTCTCGAGTCCGAAGACTGGTGGCATGTCATTGACGCAATGGGGATGTCTGCGTCTGGATCGCGAGACCGATTGGTAGCCATGACTTCGGCCGAGCTCGTGGATCAAGGCATTCCGCAGCAAAGCATCCAGCTTCTTCCCTTTATCCCGTGCATTATCACCAAGCTGGGCAGGCAAGGCGTCCTTCTCACACAGCTTCTCCGTCCGGGAGACGCGCGTCTGACCAGTCCGGACACCGCCCCATATATCCTATCCCGTGCGCCCACCCACCATGCAGTGATCGGAGGAGTATACATGCGTTTGTTCCCCCCAGCAGCCGTACTTGCGGAGGAAGATATTGTCAGTGTCAATGGAGCTGGAGATACTCTCTTGGGGGCGGTAGTAACGGGTTTAGCCCGCGGCCATGTGGTAGAAGAGGTGCTGTCTTTGGCGCAGGAAGCCAGTGTTCTGACGCTTCAGTCCCCTGGCGGCGTGAGTCGCGAAATCCGCAAGCTCAACTTTCCATGATATCGAGGATTTCATTGAGATCGAGCCTCCTTTTGACTTCATAAATGCACAGTTGATGTTGCTATTGGAACAAATCACAGCCATCATGCTCATCACACAATTGTCTATCATAAGAGAGTTCTGCAGCCAGAAGATGATCATGTCCCACGCTATGCCGTACCATAAAGTCATCATATATAATAGCAAAAACCATCAAGCTCAATACCAATTCAGACAGTAATCCTCTCCACCGCTTCTGCCCCAACCACCGGCAACCGCTCGACGACTTTCGTCCCTGCGCGATTCAACCCCGTGGGGCTGAACCCAGCCGGCACAACCGCCGGATCCAACAAGCCAATCTGCACCAAGACGCTCGCCTGATCCCAATAAACATTGAGACGGGCGACTTTCCCCGCGCAGAAACTCGCCATCATGACGAGGGCGATGCGCACGGGCCGACCCGTCGGTGGAACCGACGGCAACAACCACGGAATCTCTTCGCTGTGGGTGAACGAAAAGTGCAGCTCATCGACGATGCGATCCGCGCCGGTAGTGCGTGAGAGGAGGCGAATCCGTTGATCAGGAGGACCCGTCGGCAGGAATTGGGTGGTGAAGAATTGGGTAAGGGACTTGGGGGTGGTGCCTAAATCATATCAGATACAAATGTTATATATACCCGGTTATATGAATTATTGTTTCGACTCACCTCCCATCATAGTCGGCACACAATTCACCAGTGGAGTTCCCAGAGAGGCATGGTCGTCATCACTGGGCCCCGATGCGTTCAGCTGCACTCCACTACTGCTCCCTATCATCAGCCCGACAATTTGGGCCGCCAAGCGTTCTCGCTCATCTGTCACCGCAGTAGACGAGTCTTGTTGCTGACCGGCCATGGTGCAAGACTCTGACGACGCCGCCAGGCACCGCCAGTATTCTTCCCAGACGGTGTCTACATCCGGGACCTTCCATCCCCCGCCGTTCCCGGGCCAGCCGAACCCGCGCTTCAGGGCCTCGAGGGCTCGCGACCAGGCTAATCGCGCGGCGACGCCGTCGTAGTTTGGTGAGAAGGGCTCCGCAAACCCTGCGTTAGATTCTGGGTAGAAGAAGGAGTGGCAGCGGTGACGCTTGCGGGTATGGGTGGGTGCGGAGGGCTCGGGGCCGGCTGAGCAGTGGTCTCCGGCGAGATGAATCTGGATGGGAAGAAGGGTCACCGATGGAGGGTAGGTCGTTGGCGCAGTGGAGGAAGAGGTTGTCGTGTTGGCATTTGTAGGAGCGGTAAGGACTTTGCTAATGGGACTGCCGTTTGCGTTGATGGACAGATGGTCGAGGCAGTTGTCGAAGTCATGGGGGTAGTAGGCTACCAGAGTGCAAAGTCGGGGGAAGGGGTTGGTGGATGTTGCTGGTTGATGGTGAGACTCGAGAAGCAGTGAGGCCGGTTTGTTGTAGGCTAACGAGGAAACCTTTAGCTACAGTTTCACAGTGTACGGACATCTACCCAGAGGGTCTCTGGGTTATACTAGTCCAAAGGGCAAAAAAGGGTGTCTGACCGACCACGGCATATCGTTCTCCGGGCTCAAGATCATCCTCCCGTTCGTGCAGGAGATACTCGAGGTCTTTTCGATCTCGCTCGCGGTCTGTGTGATATCTCCCAGGGAAGGGCAAATATTCAACATCGAAACCCTCTGCACGGAGTCGGGCTATGATGCCAGCGTCGAATTCGAGGGTATCGGAGGTCAGATACAGCCGACGGGGCGCACCAGTGTCTGAATCTTTGCGACGAAGGTCGACACCGGGCGGTGATTGGAGAGGAGTTGTGCCAGAAGAACTACTTCGACGTCGTCGAAAATGCTGGCGAAGGCGTTCCATGGGGGAGAGCAATATTAGATTAGGGTTGACTGAGAATGGGTCAGACAGCAAAGTGTTATGTACATTTAAGTCAGAAAACCAAGAGCGGTATTGAGGAAAGCGGTCCAAATATAGATTGAGGAAATCCGACTGCCTCAAGATCAGGCAGGCGTGTGGCATGCTGGGCTGACGTCGACGAGTTTTGCCCAGTTTCTTGGGTCGACGTGGAACCAGCCGGAGTTTCGCTTGGCCTCTTGGGAAGACCACAGAGGTGATTCATCAGTTTGACCTGCAAGATGGAATGTATAGTAGATTGTATGGTGTAAATTGTAATTGTATATGTAGGTGTATCTGCATGTTGCGTGGATGTCTATATATCGCTCATCGTCGATCAGTGGGACGGCGATCAATAGCCGTTCCGTTCCGGGGTGTCTCTCCCTCTCTAAATCTAAATGCACATGGTCAATGTGAATTAGCACATCTGTGCACAAACGCACCATTATGACGCATGCCCGTTATTGTGATTCGAACCGGGTCAGCCACTGGCGCGCCTCCCTTACGTCCTCCGCGCATTCTTCCCCGGCCAGATAACACGCATATGCTGGCCGCTGCAGACTCCGACGCGCCACCTCACAGTCCAGGCGAATATCCTCCACCAATGCCTCAAGTGATACATAATCGTACTCTGGTCGGATGTACCCCAAGATCAGTAGGCGCAGGTCTGTGCCATAGAAGTCCGGGAGCTTGTGGAATTTCGTGGGACCGCCGCCCGCGGTGGGGGACGGCGCCGAGAGAGATGGCATGATATGAATTTCCTAGCATCACCGGGAGGTCAATTACTGAAAAATGGAGCCCGAAAGGAAGGAATGCCTTACAATCGACCGTGTCTGGTTCTTATAAAAAGGATTGTACCCAATGCTTAACACGGCCGGTCGGATCGGCGACGAGGCATCCTCGAAGGCGAATCGGGCCGGATCCAAGGCGACCACCCCGTAGTAAACGCCCACCTGCAGGTCCGGATATGCAGCGAGGCCCTCGGCCGGAATGTTGGCGGTGGGGATACCCAACTGCAAGATGAACGCATGGTCAGCCTCACACTGCACGTTGGGTTCGGCGGACATTCAATCACCTCTTTGCTCCCCCGCCCAAAGCCCTTGATCACCGGGCCAGCCAGGCGGATGGGATAGGGAGGCTCCGGGCCTCCATCAGGCCCGGTTACAGGATCACGAGGGCCATCCGGTCGCATCTTCGGTCTGCTGGTGCGGGAGTAAGAGTGGGGGAGGAAATGAAGGGGAACTGGAATGGACAAGCTGCTGTTGTTGGGATTTCAAAGGAAGAGACCGAAAGATTACGAAGAGGGAAAGCGGCGATAAGAAGCCGATGCGATGCGGGGGAAGCAAGCGGGCGGGCGGGCGGGCGGTGAGGACGTCACCAACTGGCAAGCAGATCTCATCATCGACAGTCAAAAGTCAACTGTATGAACTGCAGGACAACGTCCGGTCCTGCTTGACTAGTACTTACTGTACATACAATACATGCTGTAGAAGACGGGACAATTGGATCATAGGCACTTGTTTGAATTGAACGCTTTTTTTATACCATTAACTCCGTACCTCTAATATAAAGGGTAGTATGTGGGAAATCTCGTAATACACTCGCTATTTACTCCATCTCAATGGTGGCAGGGGGCTTGCTAGAAATGTCGTACAAAACACGGGACACTACAAATCACGATCAGTAAGTTCACTCGTGGAACAAGATCCGAACTCAAGACGAAAGACTTACCACCGTGGACCTCGTTGATGATGCGGGTCGAGCAGCGAGCCAGGAACTCGTTGTCGAAGGGGAAGGCACGAGCAGTCATGACTGGCAGACAGTTAGTCGAGGTGAGTCATGACTCAAAACAAAAAGAGCTACTTACAATCGGTAGTCTCGACAGCACGCAGGATGATGATCTCAGCATAGACACGCTTGTCGCCCTGTGAAAGTTGACATCAACATCAGTATTAAGATCGGATTCTCTGGCAATTGGGTAGGGGAACCCATCCGTACCATAACACCAACAGCCTTGCTGGGGTCCAAAGCGGCATAGGCCTGAGCGATCTTGTCATACAGACCAGCCTCGCGGATCATGGAAATGAAAATGTGGTCGGCACGGCGGGCAATCTCAACACGCTCGGGGGTTACCTCACCCAGGACACGGATGGCAATACCGGGTCCGGGGAAGGGGTGGCGCATAACCAGCTCGTGGGCAATGCCCAGCTGGCGACCCAGGGCGCGCACCTCATCCTTAAAGAGCTCGCGAAGAGGCTCAATAAGCTTCATACCCTGGCCATCAATCATGCGCTCTGCATATAGTTAGCTTTGTGACTTCTTCAGATAGGAGAAAAATTAAGTAAGATAACGTACGGGGCAGACCGCCAACATTGTGGTGGGTCTTGATGGTGGCAGAAGGGCCCTTGAACGAGATACTCTCGATGACATCAGGGTACAGGGTACCCTGCAAGAACCACTTGATCTTGGCACCAGCATGCTCGGCCTCGGCCTCGATCTTCTGGGCCTCCTCCTCGAAGACATCAATGAACGTGCCACCAATGAACTTGCGCTTCTTCTCGGGGTCGGTGACACCCTTGAGTCCATCCAAGAAACGCTTGGAAGCGTCCACAACCGTCAAGTTGATGCCCAGGTGCTTGTTCAGGGTCTCGGAGACAATGTCGCATTCGTTCAAACGCATGCATCCGTTGTTGACAAGAACGGCATGGAAACGGTCACCAATAGCCTCCTTCATCAGCTTGGCAGCCCTAGTGACGGGTGTTAGCACTTGCAAGCTAGCAAGAAACTGAGCCCGGCACTTACACGGTGGAATCAACACCACCACTCACAGCACCCAGCACGTGGTCGGTCTCACCGACCAAGTTGCGGATGCGGGAAATTTCCTGGTCGACGAAGCGAGACATGGTCCAGTTCTGTTGAGCGCCGCAAATGTCGACGGCAAAGTTCTTGAGGAGGGTTGTGCCTAGGCCAGTCAATACCTTAGAAGCTACAACGAGTCACACAACCCATTCATATTGCAGCGTACCTTTAGGCGTGTGGGTGACCTCGGGGTGGAACTGGACACCGTAGATGGGCTTGGACTCGTGGGCAATACCAGCGTACGGGGAGTTGGCGGAGGTGGCAATGGTGTGGAAGCCCTCGGGCAGCTTGGCGAGCTTGTCACCGTGGCTCATCCAGACCAGCATGTCATCCTCGATGCCGGCGAACAGCTTGTCGACATGACCCTGGGAGTCGAGGCGCTTGGCGTTCAGGTCGGCATGACCGTACTCGCGCTCGGTGCCGGCGATGACGTTGCTCTTGTCCAATCGGTAGGCGATTTCTTGCAGACCGTAGCAGATACCGAGAATCGGAACTCCAAGGTCGAAGAAGGCGGGATCGACGTGGGGGGCTGTAGAAGGTGACCGGGTGGAATGAGTCAATCCGGCAGGGAGAATCGAGCTTTCATGATTTACTTACCACCCTCCTCATAGACACTGTAGGGACCACCGGAGAGAATGATACCCTTGGGCTTGAAAGGGAGATCGGCTAGCTTCTGAGTGCAAGGAAGCATTTCACTGTAGACATTGATCTCTCTCAGTCTCCGGGTCAGGAGGTGAGTCTGGGTGGTAGAAAATGTGTCAGTGACTCAGGTTGCGATAGGCGGGGTACATTGAACTATTGCGAGACTCTAAAGGAGAGGAAGCGGGGAAGAGACTAACGTATTGAGAACCAAAGTCCAGAGTGAGAATGGTGTCGAAGGTAGCATGGGGGATATCCTGGTCGGCCATGATGACGGTTCTTTCAATTGCTCGTCCCAATTGAAGAGCAAATACAATGGGGTTGAATGATGATGGCGAGGAAGAGAAAGTCGGAGGGGAAAGCGGGCTTGCACTTTTTTTTTCTTTCCCTTCCCGTCGCATTTCTCTGCCGGGCGGTGAGATGCGCCCGATGGTTAAGTCCCCGGCCGGGCGGTCAAAGAGATAACGCTTGACGGTTATCTCACGTGGTTCCGGGCCAGAACAGCATGCTGCTTACATAAGTTACTCATCTGAACTGTTAAGTTAGTTAGTTATCTCGCTGACACAGTCTGGCTCGTTGCCCAAAATCTGCCCTGTGCCTGGTTAGACTAGTACCTGATAACTTATAATTACTCCGTAGTAACCGGTAAGTTAAGCTGGTTGCTCACTAGAACCCGAGTTCGGGATTTCGCTTGGCAGCAAAAACCCCAGATCATCACAAGGCTCGTGGCATTTGAGGAGTACTGAAGAAGATAAAAATGGAGTTTAGCTAGTTACATCTGAGGATCATTATTGGCTATGTTTCTCCCAGACACGCTTTTAGCGCAGCGCCGGTCGGAAGCCTGTGGTGGCGATGCTGAACTGGCGAGGCGCCCGCATGCGCTGTGGACTGCATCCATATTCCATAGTCCCCATCAGTTTAGATTGTCTAGTCTGAAAACAATTTCAAATGGTTGACTTACATCCATATACTTCCCGTCTGTAAATGAACCAATCCGTCCTGCAAGCCACCAAGGCTAACACTCCCATTCGGACATCATGATACGAGCTGCCAGCCATAAAAAGGGGGAGAAAAGGGGTGGTGGCAGAAATGGGAGATATGAACTGTCTGTCTATCAGAAAGAAACACCTTCATTCCGAATGCCCGCTTCCATCCTCTCTCTTTGAATGAATCAACCCACTGTTTCACGGCACGACTGGGCAGCCTCGATGAAACAGGCAAATGGGACCTGCAGGCAACGCCACTCCAATTACTTACACTTGGCTGGGGAGAGTCAATAAAGTGGACCGTGAACAGGTCTATCCTGGGTCAACACGAAGGAAAGGGTCCGCGCGGGCTAGATTGAGCCGCAGAGTTGCATGTTTGCCTTTGCCTACTATTTGCTATGGAGCACTGAGAGAGTGGTACACTGGTGGTACCTGACTCTTGCATCAATCAACTGGGCGTTCCGATCCTGAAGGATTCTCCCAGTGGAGGCTGGACTAAACCATGCCACCAAACAGACTCGATAATCCTTATGGCTATAATACCTATAATGCCTGGTCTCTCCGTCCCTGGACCCTTTTCACTCCTCTTTTTTCCTCTCCTCGTTGTGCAGTAATTCTTTGTCCGCTCTTTTTTCATATTCCTTCTCTCGATAACTTAATAATCTCGTCTAGGAAAAAGGACTCTGCCTAAAGTCCATCCATTCATTCTCTATCTACCGTCGAAATGCGCACCACGACTTTCTTGACCACTGCTGCCATCCTTTGCCTGGCAACCCTGTCTACTGCCGCCAGTACTACTACGATCAACCTCTTTCAGCCTGGTGAGGAGACCATTCCCTACAATGATGTGGAGGCGAGCATCATCGGGGTCACTGGGGATACCACCACTGTTGCTATCGTCTGCGGCCCTTCCGCAGCTGCATCGAATTGTGCCCTGCACAGCCCAGTCACCATTACTGAGGGTCCTTCTACTTTCACTGTGAGCGCCGTCATAACTTCTACTACGGACGATGCAGAATATACGGTTACCCTCGTTGAAGACTGCGATATCACCTCTGTGACTCAAGGTGCCTCCTGCTCCATTTCCATGGATTACACTATCGCCTACAGCGGCGAAACCACTTCTTACTCAACTGCCGCGGAAGCCTCTCTGCCTGCTCGCCTAATGAAGTACTCGCCCGTGACGGTCACTGCGGGCGCTGACAAGTTGTCTTCCTCTGCTGCTAAGGCAACTGGGACCTCTTCTGGCTCTTCTAGCGCTGACAGCAAGAATGATTCTACCACCACTGCCACTGGCAGTGCCTCGACCGAGAGTGCATCTTCTTCCAAGACCTCCTTGGGCTCGAATGCCTCCAGTACCCCCAATGGCGCAGCTGGCCACCAAGCCATGACTCTGGGTGGTGCCTTTGCTGCTGCTTTTGTTGCCGTTATTGGCTTGCTGTGAGCGGTGGGTGGGTTTGACTGACTGACTTGCTGCTTGGTCATGCGACGAGAGTCATCAATGGAACGGTCTCGTCGCAAATTAATTAATTCTTGCCCACATATTTGCATCCTCCCCTCTTTTTCCTAGCTCCTCGAATAACACGACAATTTCAGGCTATCTTTGCAACCTTTTCATGGGCATTCTCACCATGATAACGAGCTTGAATGAGCACCACGGTTGAGATTCTGATCTATTGCTGTTGAATAACTCAAACGAGACTCCATTATATATCCACCTGTTTCACTGTAGACTTCACCGCGTCAGTGCCAACCGGTAACTAGACCTGATAGCCGACTTAAGCTCCGCAGTACAGTACATACGTACGTATGTATGTGTGTATGTGTACTGTACTATACAGACTGAATTCTCTGTCATATCATCAAGCACTTTGTGTCGAAGGAGCGGCTACAGAAGCTGGAAAGTTAAGACTATTCAAATTAATATTAATTAGTTATTAGAAGGAATTAGATACAGCTATATAGTATTTTAAATTTTTCGACTGTTATATAACCCGGTAATACTAGATTATTAATATCGATACATCTTCTTAAAAAGCTCTGTAATACTATTATTCTTTTTTAAATAAATAATTTATAAAGTTTTTTAGTATTAAAAACTTAGTAGATATATAGAAAAAGAATCTTTAGATTAAAGCTTATACAGCCAGCTGGTATTTTTATAAACTATTTTAATTTTAATATTTTATATAAATATTTTTAGTTTTTTTATTAATATATTAAACTTAATATTTTTTATAGATTCTATAAATAAATTAACAAGATTCTCTAAGAACTTAATATATTTTAGTTATATATTATTATATTAAATAGCTTTATAAATCTAGTAAAATATAATATTAATATATTTAGTTTTTTAGTAGAACTAGTTGTTCTAGACTAATATAATTATATTCTTATTATTAATATAAATAATTATTAAATATATATTTTAAAAATTAATATTTTTAAATATATAGATAATCTAGTAGACTTTTTTATTTATAATATAAAAAATTATATATTTAGCTTTATATATTAATATAGTAATACAGATCTATAAATAAGATAACTAAAAAATTAGACTATTTATTTATATAAATATATATTTAGTAGTTAAATAATATATATTAAAACAGCCGGTATAATTAATATTAATATAACTAATTATAATTCTAAGTTTATTAGCTAGATTATTTTTTTAATATATTATATATAAAATTTTATAATTCTCGGTTTAATATAGATAATAAAATAAAAATATAAGATTATTTAAATATTATTTTATTAGATTATTTATATAATAAAATAGCTTCTTAACTACAAATATAATATTAGAATAAGTTTATATTATTAAATATATAATATTTTTAATATTAATTTAATAGTTTTTAATCTTCTTTTTAGATATTTATTTCTAATTTTTAATAGATTTAATATTTTTATTTAAAAATATTTTATATATCTTTTTACTCGCCGGATCTGCGGCTTTAATAATATATTAAAAAAGACTTTTTATATTAAATAAATAATACTAATAGAATATTTAATTTTAATTTTAAAATATAATAAAGTATTATTAAAATCTATAATAATAAAATTGTCAAGGAGCGGGCTGGCGTCTGGTTCTTAGTCTGACTAAATAGTAGAAATAACAGTACTAGCTGAAAGAATCTTTAAAATAGTCTTTCTAGATTTTTTACTAGCTACTAGATTAGGCTACTCTTAGATTTATAAATAAGATATAGCTTAAAAAGCTATAAATAGAATTAAAAATAAATAAAAAATTAAAAAGTTCTATATATTATATATAAAGTAGTTAGAAAAAGCAGTAAGATTATTAAAATTAAAAAATAAAATAGATTAAATAAATAGAATAAATATATTAGATTTATATTATAATAATATATTTTTTTAAAGCCGAGTTTTATTAAAATATAGATTATAGCTTATTAGAATAATAGTAGTAGAAGTTTTTAATTATTTAATAAATATTTTTTAAATATTAAATTAATTTAATAGTTAGATTTAAATATTTAATTTATTTTATAATATATATTAGTTAGAGGCGGCTGTATTTTTTATAATTTTATATAAAATTAAAAATATTTTTAATTTTCTATTTTTTTAGACTATTAACTTCTATATATAGTAGTAGAAATTAATATTAGTTTAGAATTAGTTTTTTATTAATAAAAATAAGTAGACTAATATTAAATATAAAATATATTTTTATATTGAAAAATAAAACCAGTTAATAAATGTATAAACTAATAACTTTTTTAATTTTATATAATTTTAGAATATTCTAGTTAAGTTTCTTATTAGATTTTAGTATTTTAATATTATAAATATTTAACTATATTTTTTAGTTTTTTTAAAATTATTTTATTAATTTATATTATTAGTTTATTTATTTTATATAGCAGATTTAAACAGTAGATATTTTTATTTTAGTAAATTTAATAATAATTTATATTTTTATAATAAACTAGTTTATATTTCTAGCAGCTAGGCTATTTAGTATAATAATAGATTTAAAATCTATATAAAAATAAAATCTATAATTTATAAAAAATAAGATAGTTTTAATAATATTAAAATAGATTATATTTAATATAAATTTAGTTAGAAGAAGCTACTAGCTTTAATTATTTTATAAATAATTTATATAAATTTAAAGATATTATTTAAATATTATATTAATTTTTTTAGTCTGGCTGTTAGTTTTTAAATAGTATATTATAAAAAGTTTACTAGTAATATTAAGTTATTAAATTAGATATTTCTAAAATTTAAAAATAAACTAAAATTTTTAGTCTAAAAAATAGATTAGAATAAACTATATAATTTTTATATATACTAGATATATATTATTATAACAGTAATAATATTAGCAGTTAAATTATAGAAAATCAGATATTTTATTTTTATTAAATAATTAATAATTACTAGAATAATATTATAGTCTTAGTTTTTAAATAAATATATAATAAAGTCTATAAATATATTTTATTATATTTATTTAAATATTAATAAAAACTTTAGAGTTTTTTATTTTATTTTTTAAAAAAGATTATTTTTTAGTAAATATAATAGTTTTTTATTTATTATTCTATATATTAGTAGATATTAGGCTAGTAGTATTCTTAGATTAGAAACTTATATATATAAGTTTTTTTAAAATATTTAAAAATAGGTTTATTATAGGCTAGTCTAATTAGATCGGCTTTAATCTATTTATTATTAGATATTTATAATTAATTTTTATAGAATAAAAAGCTTTTTTTTATATAATATTAGTAATATATCTGAATAACAGTTTTTATTAATAACTAGGATTTTTAGTATTTTTTTAATCTATTTATTTTTTTTATATATAGTATAGAAAGATTTCTATATTTTAGGCGAAAATTATAAGTTTTATTTATTTTTAAATATTATATTTTTTTAAGTATATAGAATAAATACTAACTTTATTTTTAATATATTTTTTATATCTTTTTTTAAAATTATTTTTTTTATTATTTTTACTCTCTAATAAAGTCGGGGGTGGTATTAATAGATAAATAGAATTAATATTTTTTTATTTTAAAATTATTTAGTTTTAGTATAGTAGATGTTTATTTTTTTTAAAAAAATTATCTAATTTTTTAATTAAATTATTAGATTTAATTCTATATTTTTTAGAATTATAAATAATCTTAAAATTAAAATACAATAAGAATTTAGACTATTAAGTTTATTAATAGTTAAAAAGCTTAATAAATATAAAATATTCTAGATTATAATAATTTATAATAATTCAAATTAGAAATAATATTTTTTTAATCTAGAATATTATTTTTTAAAATAATAAATAATAATAAATAGTTTTTTATTATAGATTTTATAATTATATTTAGTAGAAGTATATTTCTTAGAAAAATATATAATAAAATATAATATTTTATTATTATTATACTAAAATAAAACTTTTTTTAATATATAATTAAAAATATTAGTTTTTAGAATAATATTATAAATCTAGTTAAATAATTAAAAAACTAGTACTTTAATAAAAATATTCTTGAATTTATTAAATATTTTTTAGTACTTTATAATTTATATAAATAAAACTTTTTTTATTAGATATATAAATAGAGCAGTTAGTTTTAAAAAATCATAAATAAATTAATAATAAAAGTTATTAAAGCCTAAAAAAATCTATATATTAATTATATAAATTAAAATAAACTATTCGGCTATAGTTTTAATTTTTTTTAGATTTATATAAAATCTTTTATAATTTATAATTAGATTTAGAAACTTAGTTTAAATATAATAAACTTATACTTAAATAATTTAGTATAAAATCCTATTTTTCTAGTTTTTATAAAATATAATAGATATATTTAGAGTATTTTTTATAAATATAACTATAAATTAGAATATTATTTAAATAAATAGTATAAAATATATTAAAATAATTTTTTAAAGTATTATTAATATATTACTAGAATATAACAAAGGCTTTAATTAGTCTAAATAATATTATAAATATTTTATATAGTTTTAGATAGGTTTAGAATACTATAAGATATTTTTAATTTTTTTTAATTTTAATATTATTAAATATACTAATAATATTAATTTTTATAAAATACTTTATTTCTTTTAGATTATTTAGAATTTTTTTTATAAACAGAAGCGGATATCTGTTTTTTATTAAAATAATATTTAAAATATAATAATTAATATAGAATC